TTTGCTGCAAGAATTGCTCGTTGACTTAACCAAGCATAATTCTGATAATTCTCACTAATGTCATTACTTGAATTTTTAATTACGGTGCGTGAAGTTCCAGCAATTTGCATTTAGGCACAATGCCATGCACCTCTAATTTTCTTAGCTATAAACTATGCGGAGCCCGAGACCTTTCCAAGGAATGCAAAATTGTCGAAATCGGTTCGTGCGTTCTGGAGTTATATCGTCAGGAAGGAAAACCCGACTTATTTTTATAAATATGTAGATAATATTTGATGTATTTTGATAAGGTATCGGGATGATTTCTGTTGAATGACCATCAGTCGAACTGTTTCTTCACAATTAATAGATAAGTGGAAAACATTTCGTCTATTTTTTCGCAAAAATTCTGTTTTGATCATTCAAAAACCAGTTGAAAAGATATCGGTTTGATGTTGGACCAATTAGTTTTTGGTAAAGATCGACCAGGCCGTTTTTAAAAAAAATAGCTATCTTTAGGTCATAGTCGTAAGTACCAGGACTAGTTTTAAATATTATGGGAAATGTGGTTAAATTATATAATGATGGAAAGATGGGTTTTAGGCCTAGTTTCTTTCTATAAAACACATTAATACGAATAAATAAATTTAACTTTTTTTAACTTCCCATAGGGTAAGTTATTGTAATGGGCCGAAAATCGGAATTGAAAATTTTTACATTTCTCGACGTTTAGAAGGTTTCTGAACATTTTGGCTTATTTCAGGAAAAATGGATGTGTGTGTGTATGTATGTATGGATACAATTTTTCGTCCACGTTTTCGGGCGCACGGATCATTCGATTTGAATGGTTCAAAAAACATTCGATTCCTATTGATAGGGAGATATGCTGATTAGTTTTTGCCAAAGGCAGGTCCAGCCGTTACGGAGATACGGAGCAAAGAGTGCAGAAAATAGAAATCGAGTTTTTGAGAGCACGGAGCATCCGATTTGAATGATCTAAAAAACATTCAATTAGTAATGATTGCGAGAAGGGGTTATTAGTTTTTCGCAAAGGCAGGCCCAGCCATTTCGGAGATACAGAGCTAAATGTACAAAAAATGGCAGTTTTTGAGAGAACTAAGTTTCCGATTCAATTGATTCAAAGAACTTTCTGCTTGTCTTAACAAAATAATTGATTTTGGAAAAAAAAATTGTTTTATTTTTTTTTTTTTTAATTTTTTGTATATCGAAAATAATTCAGATTTTATTTTTAATTCTGACTATAGTTCTAATATACTTTAAACAAATAATTTCAACTTTGCAATTCAGTTTATATAATTCTTATAAATATTAGACAATGTTACAATATTTATAATAATCTATTTGAAAACATTCAATATTCCTCAAACATTTCGTTACGGTACGGGAAGGTCCAGCAATTGCCTTAAGGCACGATGCCACCCACCCCACTAGTTTAATGCAATAATTGAACCAATGTTCATCGACTCATATCACGTTTTTTAGTATAAATACTGCCATTGCTAATAGGTACTAAATTTTATTATCAGTTTTTTTAGATTAAACTAGTTTAGTAAACGATAATATATTTCGTTAAGATATTTAAAATTAATTTTAATTAATTAACTTATCGACTACCTCCTAATGCAAATAGTTGCCAATTCTTTTTTGATTTATTCTTTTATAAGAAAAATACGCTTCAGGTAAATATAATGAGGTACTTTTTGTTTGGCAACAATGTAAACATTAATTTATTTAATTTGAATATAGTTTGTTAAATTTACAAACTATATTGATATTGACTTTTGTTATAACGATTGTTATTATTAGATGCTTTGGTGCTCGTTGGCCGGATAATCAATTTTATTTGCCAACATAACATTAAATGTATTTCTTATAAACCTATTAGAAATTTTCGAAAGTTGAGGTTATTGAATTTGGTGATGATAATCAGTTATTAAAATGTTCATAAATACAATATGTATGAAAGATTAAAACTGGCGGAAATCATTAATTCTGTTCTATATGTTTTGGCTAATATAATACTGAAAATTACAAGAAACATTTATGACTTTATTATGAACATTGGCTATTGATAGAGGAAGCAATGGTTTCAAAAAAAATACATTATTTTTTAATCATTTAAAATAGCAGTAATATTTTTTCTTGAACTAAAATAAATTATAATCGATATCAATAAAGTTTTTTTTCATATTTTTTTTAAACAAATGCTTGCTCTTTAAATGGATCAGTGGGCACAAGGTACCTTGAATATTATGGAATTTCTGGAAAAGGCTTACATATAAGTAAGTAAGTATACATTTGTTTGAGATACATAGTTGTATTTAGTAACACTCCATAAATTGTTAAATTTGATGATAATTTTAAAAGCTTAGTTTTATAAAATAATTGACTATATTATGATTTACTATATTATCATTCAATTAAGTTTAGTGGAATATGATACGGGGTCAGTGGTAACTAAAAGGAGTTTCTTGGACACATTCAGTATTCATTAAAATAAGTATATTCTATATTTATTTATTTTACATTAGTTTTCCATTGTTTATGCACATTTAATGAGATTAATAGTCACGAAACGTATAATATTTGAATCACTTTCTCCTAGTTTCGCTCTAATTCATTTATCTTTATTATGAGGCCACGGTCGATAAAATTCTTTAGTTGTTGTTTTTATTAAATGATCCCATGACCGATTCTTTCATGTACTTCTGTTTTGAATATGTACGGTCATAATTATTGCTTTGAAACGTGAAAGTTTAGGATCTAAAATAGAAAAGTTGAAATTAAGACACCATATGCATGGGTCTGCTTTTTCACAGTTTACAATAATTTCAACTCATATATATATATATATATATATATATATATATATATATATATAACTTATATATATATTATAAAACTTATAATTTTATACACAAATGTGTAAAGTATAAGTAAGCTGCCAATTATTCTTTAAGAAATGCATAAAAACAGCAATTATATGTTTAACAAAAACTGTTCATTGTGAGTTTGTGCATTAGAAAGCGGAAAAACAACAATTAAAAACTTAATTGGTTAGCAAAACACAACAAAATTATAAATTTAAATGATCGACAATGACATTAAATATATGCCTAGCATTGCTACTGCAGCTTTCTTAACTTTGTAATAGAATGTCAGAAAACAAATTTTGATTTTTAAATTGAAAATGATGAGTACTTTGATTTAAAAGGCATGTATGTTCTCATTGCAAATTAAATAGCAGTATTTTTTTTCATCAGCAAGTTTTTGGTAGCAGTTATAATGTCCAAAAATCGAATGCCAGTCCAGTGATTGGACGCTCAAATACAAATATAGTTTAAAAAAATTAATGTAATTTTTTTGCAGTAAAATTTGCTAATATTTTATAGATATTGTCAATAATTTTGTCAATAACAGCGAGTTATCATGTAGTATTATATTTACTTGCTAATAGTGTATCTTTTTAGAAGGTAACCCAACGGTTGGTCAATTTTTATTTGAGCTTTTTTCTCCGATAATTTTCAATTTGACGCACCAATGCAGGGGAAGGGTTATTTTTACTTGGAAACATATCTTCATTTATATATGCAAGTGAAAACCGATATCACTGCTGCTTGATACCAGGCTGTTCGAAGTGGGTATGGAATCTGGAAAGCCAAAAATCTTATCAAAGAGTCGCGAAAAGCTAAATTTTTTAGTTAGATACAAAAATTAAAAATCTGTGATTTATTTACGAGGTAGTATCAAAATTTATACCACAAATCGGAAGCATTAAAATTAATCATATAACTTTTATCATGTGAAGAATCAATGCAGGGGAAGGGTTATTTTTACTAGGAAACATATCTAAAAATAAAAATATGTAAGTGAAAACCGATATCACTGCTGCTTGATACTAGGCTGTTTGAAGTGGGTATGGAATCTACTTCATTTATCTGTATTAACTGAATTATTCAAATCTGATAGCACCAAATTTTATATTCGATTATTAAGAAAATTTCACAAAACCAGAAGACTTTTATCATGTAAAGTCTCATGACATGATTTATGAACAATAGTAGGATATAGGAAAAAATGTATATGTCCCATTGTGAAGCCGCAGAAAACATTTTATAAAATGTTCTAGATTCTGTTAATTAAGTATCTCGATTTTTTCCTGTAAGAAGAACAATGCTGAAACATTCACAATATAAAATGAGACGTCAGTTATCGAACGGTGGGCGGATTGTATTGTATTAACGACAATGTTATTTGTAATGAGCAATACGTAATTTCTAATTAATTACGAAGTCAGTGACTTGTAAGGAACTTGCGACAGAATCAGTATACATTCGACTACTTTTTAGAGATCCTTAGGCCAAGCATTTCTAATAATTAGTATCAATTATAAATGAGCAAGTCGTAGGTAGGTAATTTTTTCAATCCAGACATTCTTGAGCAATCGGAAACTTGAATTACTTTTTTACATTGCTGTCTCAGCATGAATAGTAGATGAATGAATATTGTTCATGGTGTTGAAGTAAATCAATTATATTCTTACTTAAATAAAATAAATCGGGAAAAAATTGATTATAAATATTTCAAGAAACTAGTTAAATATTATTTAACGTGTACTTCAAAAAAATCAAATTAAAACTCAACAAATATGGTTGAGTTTATTTGTCCAATAAACTTAGAATTCAAAACATTCTTTTCATTTTATAATCCCCTATATATTAAATTTGCTTTTGCAATGTACTCTAAACTTTTTTATTATAATGATTATTATTTGAAGTAGAAGTAACACTGGCTACTTCTTCTATTAATTAAATTCTATTATTATTTCTATTATTATTAAATTCTATTATTTGTATCCGCACTCACACACACACATACACACATAAACACACACATCTATCAATTTTTTCTTAGGTATGCCAAAATATTGAGAAACCTTTAAAACGTAAAGATATATCAAAATTTTTATTTTCGATTTTTTTGCGATTACTATAATTTACCTTACGGAAGTTAATTATTACGGTTATATTCTAAATGAGCTTATCTCAAAGTAACTAGATAATTTATAACATTTTGCTATTGTCACTAAAATAAAAGTTTAAAAAAGAAGGTATTTTTATCAATTATCTATTCACTTCGTTAATTAAATCAAGTTTAGTTTTCACACTTATAGAAAGACTATTTGTTCATTTTTAAAACAATTAAGTCTCCCACAATGTCTTTGTGTATTGCATTGTATGTCGTGTCTACATAATACATATACAAGATATTTTCTGAATTCAACAACAAATTGTACATGTACAAAATCCAATATGAACATTTTGTACCAATCGAAGCATTTGTATGCAAATGATGTCTGAATTGCAGAACTTTTAACACGAATCGTTTTAAAAACGTAACGCAATGCACATTCATATCAACAGAGGTAAATAAATTGTGGAATAATATAAATGTAACAGTTATTTAATTAATTTCTAATTTCTTCGCATTAATATTTGATAAAGTGACTTATTTACAACTGAATGTATTGCGACTCAAAAAAATTGATGTTAAAAAATCAATTAAAATAGAATCATCATTTAAAAATATTTTAGGTAAATTATAAAACCACAATTATTTATTTTACATGAGAATATTTAAAAAATCTTCACATTTTTATAGACTTATAAAATATTGGCAACAATTGCAATAATCTACTTAGTCGACATACATTGTCTTTGCATTTTAATCAATTACGATATTTAAATAAATAACTGAATTATTAGTGCTAGTCTTTGAAGAAAGTGAAATAGGGTAGAGCGGGGAACAAAGGCCCAAATTGAATTTTGACAATTATACTGTGAAAACCAAAACAAACGCTTCAAAACAATTATCACATATCAAACAAACAACTATCAAACTATGTTCTTCTCTTTTGAAGGATTCTGAACATTTTTGCATACCTCAGAAAAAATAGATGTGTGTGTGTATGTATGTATGGATACAATTTTTCGTTCACGTTTTTGGGCGCACGGGTCATCCGATTTGAATGGTTAAAAAAACATTCGATTCCTATTGATAAAGAGATGTGCTGATTAGTTTTTGGCAAAGTCAGGTCCAGCCGTTACGGAAATACGAAGCAAATTGTGCAACAAATACAACGGGAAGTTCCAGCGAATGGCCTTAAGACACGATGCCACACACACGACTAGTTTTACATTTTTATTTACTAGTTACTTTTTGTTCACGCCTATCCAGTACACATCTCTTGTATCTAACTTAAAAATAATAAATACATCTTATTAACTTCCCGTAAGGTAAGTTATTGTAATGGGCCGAAAATCGGAATTGAAAATTTTTACATTTCTCGACGTTTTGAAGGTTTCTGAACATTTTGGCATACTTCAGAAGAAATGTATGCGTGTGTGTGTGTGTGTATGTATGTATGGATACAATTTTTTGCCCACGTTTTTGGGCGTACGGATCAACCGATTTGAATGGTTCAAAAAACATTCGATTCCTATTGATAAGGAGATGTGCTGATTAGTTTTTGGCAAAGGCAGGTCCAGCAGTTACGGAGATAAAGAGCAAAGAGTGCAGAAAATAGAAATCGAGTTTTTGAGAGAACGGAGCATCCGATTTGAATGATCTAAAAAACATTCAATTAGTAATGATTGGGAGAAGTGGTTATTAGTTTTTCGCAAAGGCAGGCCCAGCCGTTTCGAAGATACGGAGCTAAATGTACAAAAAATGGCAGTTTTTGAGAGAACTAAGCTTGTATGGCATGGTATGGTGTATGGCATTGTGCCTTAAAGAAAATTGCTGAAACTTCTCATACCGTAACGAAAAGAATATTAAATGTTTTCAAATAGATTATTACAAATAAATACTGTAACATTGTCAAATATTTATAGAATTATATAAACTGAATTGCAAAGTTGAAACTATTTTAAAAAGTATATAAGTGAGCTTTAAAACTTTAGTCAGAATCAAAAATAAAATCTGAATTATTTTCGATAAACAAAAAAAAAATTGTTTTGAAAAAAAAAATTGAAACAGATTTTTTTTCCAAAATCAATTATTTTGTTAAAACAAGCAGAAAGTTTTTTTGAATCATTTAAATCAGACGCTGGACGCAAAGGTAGGCCCAGCGGTTTCGGAGATACAGAGCCATACGGGAGCACTTTTTCAATTTTGTGTAAATTAGGCAACTATTTTTTTTTTGAAATTGAATTCGAAAAGTAATGACGATTGTTGTTAATGTTCTGGAGATAAATTTAATTATGATTTACATTTGATTTGCTCAGATATAACAAGATAGCAAAAATAATGAAAGTTACAGTATCTGTAATAATATATTTGAAAACCGTTTAAAATTTCTCGAATATTCCATTACGGTACGGAAAGTTCCAGCAATTTGCCTTAAGGCATGATGTCATACACCACTAGTTTTATTTTACAATTATATATAAAAACGCACAAATTATTAAGACGCAAATATAAATAAAAACGTATTTAATACAAATAATACTTCACAATCAAATTAAATATATGTATCAAATAGAACTAGATGCAAATATTAGCAGTAATAATTTCGACCATCTCGCCACGAAGGTTGAATTATGACTGATTGTGGGGTACAATAAACTTTTCGTATTGCACCCTCTATGGTTCCGAACCCGAAACTATTCAATTAGATAACAATTTTTGAATTTTTGAATTTTAGTATCATCTGGTAACAATTTATAGTTTTGTCCTTTTCTGACCCCAATAAAAGAGGTTCGCAATAACAACTAAAATCATTCTGTATTTGGATCTCTCGGTGGACACTACTCGGTGGTCAGTGGTAAGTCTTTTAAAAAATATTTATGTATTATGTAATCATTTCGTGCATTCAGTTTCAAATACGTGTCATGGAACTTGTATTTTGGTTGATTCGATTTGACTTGATTTTATGTTGAATTATAATTATAAGAATGTAAATGAATTGAAGTAAAAATTCGTCTCTTTAATATTAAACGATTTGCGTTACATTTTCTAATCCAATATATTTGTGCTGAAGTGTCGCCTTAGTGTATATTGTTGTGAAAATATTCAATTTTAGCTATTTGAGTTAACATAAATAATTTAATGCAATCTTTAGATTATTAAATTTAAATATAATTAAATAATATTATATTTTAATATAAATCTTATGTTTCAAATATTTACGATTGACTACATTTGTTTTGTTTCAGATTTCATACAGTGTTTTGCGCAGTGGCGGATTGCTTTAGGAATTTATTGTGCATGAATTTTTTTTTATTCAATCACATTGACAATTTTTAATTATTTTTTATAATTTTGTTAAATTATAATTTTGAGTTATTTGCGTCCACATTTTAATTTTTTTTTTTGTTCGTGCGAGGACTTATTCGTAATTTTAATATCGTTTAAAACGATTTCCGCGTTTAAATGTGTTCCTGTCGCCTACCCCCCACGGCAGGTTCTAGTAATTCGCGTTTCGTTAATAATTTTTTTTTTCATTCGGTGTATGGGTTCTTGCGATGTTTTTCCCAGAAGCAACGCAACCCCATACACTTTAATTTATAATTAGTATTATTTGTACAATGTTTAATTTTTTGGAATTATTTTATTAGTAGCATGGATGTAAATAACTCGTTTAGAAATCTAAAAACTTTGTTAAATAAATTACTTGTTTTTCTCTTGACTGATTTTTCTGCTGCAATGCAATGAATATGTTTTAATTAAATAATTTAAACTTTTTTTGATTGCACAATAAGTCTCCTAAACGGAGAAATGTTGAAGACGTACTGTTTGAAGTTAATAAGACGGAAGGTAAGATGATACAAAACCTTATATTATGTAAAAAAATAACAAAATTGACATTTATTTTAGTGTAAAAGGGCCTCGACTAAAGATACCAGGGGGTTGAGTACTACAACGAGCAGGAGAACATGTGTACCGATATGATGTATCTGAGCACTGGAATAAATACGAGTAGGCTACCACATACTATTTATAAGTCATTGTCTATTTCATTTCTTTCAAGTCACTTTTCATTTCAGGGTTGCAGAATTAATTTCTCACCACGACGACAAGCACCAGGACTGCTAGGAGATTGTGGTGGATTAAAAAGGTTGAAGGTGCCCTTTTTGGGGTGCAATGACTGCTACTTGGTACATCTTAGCATTGCGTTTACCAATATACAGGCTTTACCTTGGCGCACCAATCTGACTTTTAATAAAAACCGGTATTTATCTGTAGAGTGCGTAACTAACTACACGAATGAAACAGAATCTATACTTATTAACTTATTTAATGTTACCTAGTTGTGTTCGTCGTAGGTGCCAAGATATGACTGTATTTTTGTAGTAATGTCTTAAGTCTAAATTCTGATATACTATTGTTTTGGTTAATCAAAAAGCTTGAAATTATAGATGTTTATGATATGGCGTGATGATAAAGGGGATCGCATACAATCGGAGAACCCTCACTTCTTCTGGATTGTGTGTTCTTCGCCCATGGAACAGCACACGCACCACTATACACTAACTGCCTCGAGGGCTTGTGTACTTCCGACTCGATTGACTACCTCAGAGGACTGATACTCAAAAAGTGATTGCGTCTTTGTAACGACAGCATGCAATGTTTCCAAAGGGTTGCACAACCTTTAGTGCAAACTACATCCGCCGCCCGCCTATATGGTTCCTGTCGTCTGTTCCAGAGTCGCGATAAAGACTACATACATCATTTCCAACTTAATTTCTAAACTAAATCCCCACCTGCCTATAAGGCTCCTATCGTATGAGGTCCGGAGTCGCGATCGTTTTTTAGTATCAGTCCTTTCAGGTGGTCAATCCAATACGGAGGACACAAGTTAGTGCATTAGTGATGGTTGTAATGTTGTGCCAGGGAAAAAGAACACGATCTAGAAAAATCCGATCGAGTTTTCCGATTTTAAGCTTTCCCCTGCGTAATTACGCCGTTCTATACATTTTTAATCATTTCTAGCTTTATCATTACCCGATCGTTAGTACATTTGAATTTAGGCTTAATGCATCACTATACATAAGTGCGGTCAAGCTCTCGGATCTGTAAACATAACTCGGTAACAATCAATAAGTTGGTAAGTAGATTGTGTTTTAATTGTGTAGTTAGTTAAAATCTCCATTGGTAACTGCAGGTTTTGTTGAGTCGAATTAGGGCGCTAAGGTAAACCCTTCATATTGGGGAGTGAGATGCTGAACATACCAAATAGCAATCTTTACACTCTAACAAGAGTACCCTTAACCCTTTCAGTTCACCTCATAATGGATACCTACAGGTTTTCTTGTATTCATAAGTTAATATTAAGTAGTTAGACCTTAATTAGATATAAGTATAAAATATTTTTATTTTTGTTACCGGGGCCCCGTTTGTATGTTCGTCCCTATTTTTAGGGGCACTTGTGCTTTTTTATCTCATTTCAGATATCTTTCCAAGAAAATTGCTTACCAAACATACTACCAAAAAACCTGTACCGAATCGAAGATATGTGCAAGTGAGTACCAAGAACTACTTCCACAACCCATAGGAGGAAATTGGTCAGACCAATTGATGTACCAAGACACTAAAATTATTGGCATACTGCTAAGTAATATGTATGAATCTTTTTCTTTGTATTTTCTAAACCACTTTTTATTTCAGGGTTACAGAATCAATGTCTTTTCGCACCACAAAGCACGAGGACTTCTAAATAACTGCCAGGAGAATACGCATATTTAAAGGTTTTTATCCTATTATTGTTAATTTGACCTTATTATTAGTTATGACCATATATTCTTTTATATATACGGGGCCCCGTTTATTTGTTTGTCCCTATCTTTAGGGACATTTGTGTTTTTTTTTCATTTCAGATATCTTTCAAAGAAGACATTTTATTGTATGTCTATATGTTTTACCAAGATATACACGAACCACCAAGAGACCACTACCGAATTAAAGGATATGTGCAAGTGGGTACCAACAATTACTTCTGCAACCCATACTAACAAATGTAATGAAATTCTATGTTTACCTCTTTTTAGGTCTTGCACGAGATTTGGCAGAAAATATCAACTCAAAACCAACTAGCACCACTTCTACCTGAACTACCGCCTACAACTGAATTGGGTGATATGACATAATCGAAAGGAAAATTAACTGTGAGATAAGACTTTCTATTATTATAGCATTATTTAGTTAATATCAGGTTAGGGGACGTTTTGACATTAAAATCTTCGGTCGTACCTTTTTTGGGGTTGTTCGCGTACTTTTATTCAGAGCTCAAAAGGGTGGCGTCATGAAAGAACCTCTCTTATATTTTTCGCGCTTTTCTTTACATTAATTAATTATCATTTGTCCTTAAACTTCATAGGCTGGGAACCTATGAAGTTTTTTTCCAAGTGTTTACATGGTGGATCTGGGGGGTACATCATGTAAATGCTCTTTTTTTTATAAATTTACAATCACCGCTAAAATACTAAAGTGCAGATTTTTTGTTGATTTTTTTCTTTACCGCGAGAGGTTCTTTCATTTTTAAAAACCGAAATTTTTGGGTACATTAGGTCATTTCGCGGGGATTGTTCTTTTCGCGATATCAGTTCGGTACAATTAGTTTGTAAGTTAGTTTAAGTGGATTAGGGCTGCACAAATCGATACTTAGTAGTATTTACACTATATCCATTTCCATCTGAAATGTAAGAAACGTAAATATGAATAGAAGTATCTATTTCTGTGGCGACACCACATTAAAAAAAACGCGCCTGGCAACTTTACCCCATGGGTGGTGAGGAAAAAAGTTGCATCCTAATTAAGTATGTACATATAATTATCAAAATTAAAATATTTAAATAATTATGTTAATTAAAATATCTTAAAATAAAATTTTTGCAAAATAATCTTTGCTTTTTAATATGTGGTTAATGTTATTTTTAAATTTTTTTTCAGAACTTCATAAAGAATTATTAGATGCTTTCAGAAAGAATATTGTCAATAATTATTAATTTTGAATTAGTTGAATAAATACTATAAATACTACAATGCGAAGAGTTATATGATTTTGATAAAATATATTTTATCTCTTCGCATTGTAGTATGTATATAGTATTTTTTCAACCTCTAATTCAAAATCAATAACTTTTATTCTTTTCAAAAGCATATAATAATTCTTTAGTATATGTGAGATATAAAACTTTAGTCAGAATTGAAAATAAAATCTGAATTATTTTCGATATACACAAAAAAAAATTTTTTTGAAAAAAAAATTGTTAATAAGTAGAAAGTTCTTTGAATCATTCAAATCGGACGCTTAGTTCTCTCAAAAACTGCCATTTTTTGCAAATTTAGCTGGATATCTCCGTAACGACTGGACCTGCTAATTACCACTTCTCCCCATCATTACAAATTGAATGTTTTTTAGATCATTCAAATTGGATGCTCCGTTCTCTCAAAAACTCGATTTCTATTTTCTGCATTTTTTGCTCCGTAACTCGGAAATTACTATAACTTACCCAACGCAAAGTTAAAAATTATATCTAAATAATTTAAAACAAATTGTTTAATTAAAAAGTAAAATTTTGTCTATTAAAAAGGGCGCCTGAACGGATAGGGCCTAGGGCGGCAAAAAGCTTAATCCGCCACTGGCTCTATCCTAGGTACTAATGTTCCTAAAATAAATTCTAGTATCTAATAGTTCGTAAGCAGTGGCTTAATATATGTTAATAAGTATAATTTATTTTATCTCGTCATGTTATTTTATGATCTGTTCAATTAAGCAGGCTTATAATTAAGTCCGTCATCAAAGCCCATCAGTTACATTACAATAAAACATGATGAAATGCCTTCGGCGATTGTATAAGTAATAATATAATATCTCGTTGGCAAGAGGTCATACGTTACTTACATACCTTTAAATCACTTTCCAATGTCTTACGAGCGGTCTAACAACAGTTCCTTTCTGCTAGATCAGATATATGAATATTTTTGATATGTATCGATAATGTTTTTTATATGACAAAAAACTTTCTTATATGATTGTGTTGATCTACTTCGGTCTGTCTTAATTGGGCCGATATTTTTTTATTTTTTTTTCACTAAAAATAAACCAATTTCATTTCCAATCGATGTCTTTCAAACGTATCTAGAATATCTGTAATTGTACAAATTAAACTAGTGGGGTGCATGGCATCGTGCCTTAAGGCGAATTGCTGGAACTTCCCGTACCGTAAATAAAAATCATGGTATGGAACCGCAAAAAAATTACACAAAATATGTACACATTATTAAAATCTCTATAAAATATCTGAAAATATCTGATAATTTGATGTATATTTTGACCGCCAAATGACATTTTTTAAACTTATTTTCAATGAGGGTCCATAACCGCTAGACCTGCCTTCCCAAAAATTCGATCAGTTGTTCATCTTATCAATACAAGTAAATTGTTTTTTGAATTACTAAAATCGGACGCTCCGTTCTTTTAAAAACTGAGTTACCGTTTTTGGCACTTTTTGCTCCGTATCTTCGAAACGGATAGACCTGCCTATGCCAAAAACTAATCAGCACGTGTCCTTATTAATAGGAATCGAATGTTTTTTGAATAATTGAAATCGGTTGAACCGTGTTTCCCAAAATCGTCGACGAAAATTTGTATCTGCACACACACGCACATACACATATACACACATACATCCATTTTTTCTAAGTTATGCCAAATTGTTCAGAAACCTCTGAAACGTAAAGATATATAATAATTCATTTTTGTATACTTTTATATACATTTCATTTTTTATAAACTAGTGCTGCGCGTTTTAGCGATTCTTATCAGAATCTATTCCGAAGCATGCTTCGGCATAGATTCTGAGAAGAATCACTTAAAAGCGCAGTGTAATTCTAAATTTGATAATTTTTTATAATTCAACCGCTTATCATAGGCTTATAATATTTTAGTATGGTATGGTCAACATTTAATTACGAAAAAGCGATCCGGACGATCATCACTAAAACTTATCTACCCGATTACCAATCTTTCGAAGAGATTTTGAATTTTCAAAATTGATTAAAAATTGTGGGCTAAAAGGGGGACAAAACAATACACTTTTGGCCGATTGTAGCAGATAACGTTAGTCCAAATTGTGTGTGGGATATCGTTTAAATTTTTGAAATTTGACCACTTTTTGAGAAAACGTCGACGAAAGGTCAACGGTGTACATACTTTTTCCAAATTTGGTCTCATTCGATTCAGAATGACTTGAAATGTCGAGAAAACATGAACTTCTCTTCGGGAATGTTTATATTTTGATAAATCACTTCAATGAGGTAACTTTAGGATAGATTGAATATTGTATAAAAGTCAAGAAATCGTTTTCAATGCGAATTTCAAGTTGCGCCATGCAACTAAACAATATGAAGAATTCTCATGTGCTTGCATTGCGTTTATTAAACTGTCGTTAGAACTATCTTATGACATACTGCGTGCAAATTTTTTGCCTAACGAAGAATTGGTTAATGTCTTTTATAAATCAATGTCATATTTGAAAAAATAATGAAACATTAATATTGCTTCATTGCAATCTGGACAATAAAGATTTGAAACGTAAAAAGGATATACATATCTTTTGACAAGTCAAGTGAAACGTTTTAGAGAAATTGTGTGTTTAATTTTTAATTGTGCAGATAAATGTTAAAATAATTATTAACGCCGACTTATTGCACTATTATTTTCTTGTGCTATATCACAACATCAACTATCGATTATATAAATCTGAGAAATCTGATCTCATATAATTGTTTATTGTTCTTTTATCCATTTTATCTATTTGCATATCAGAAAATAACTATAATATTACCAAATAACGATAGACAGCCTCGTTTAGTTTTTTTTTTTCATTTGTTTGATATTTTATTTTGATTTTACATATGTTTCATTGTTATCTATCATCTTTTGGATTACATGACTTCCTCAATGTGAATGAAGAATGCTTCATCATCATCAACTGTCACTGTAATTTTTTTCATTGTTATGAAACATGAGTTAGCTGCAGGCTAAATTTTATATCTTGGATCATCTATTGAACATTTAAGATTTAAATTATAGACATTACTGCAGTACACTAAATAAAGAAATAATTTTATACAAATATTGTTGTCACCTTTTGTTTGTTTCCGTGAACAATGTGTACATCTAAAATCAATATCAAGTGATAATTTTAATTCTATTTTGATATCATCTTTGAAATAGACCCAAATTTATTCATTGTTTTAGATTTGATCCTCAAAAATATAGCTTGTGGTTTATCAAGCATTTTAAATATTTTAACATATAATTTTCACATTATATTTTGTAAATGAAATAACATGAAATAAAATAAATATTTAGTGACATATGAATTAATCGAAAATGACTAAAAAGAGTACAAATAAGTAACAATATTTGGTATCTTATCACTCACTTACCTATTTCTCACACAAATATTGTTATTTTCCTCTTTTATAGTATTAATTGATATTAATAGAAAAAAAATAATATTTTAATTCCCAAAAAAATGTTAAAAAATGATGTTATTTTTCTTTTTTTGCAAAATTCTTTGATTATATCATAAGTGCTTCTATTCCAGTTTTGTCAGCCCATATCACAACTAATATATATTATAGTAAGTATTCAATTAGAAAACTGACAAATCTCAAATAAATGCACATTTCATATGATCAAACATTTTTGCAAAGCTCACAAATATCAAATAATTGAGCATTTTATATAATCAAACATTTGTGCAAAAAAACATCATCTTTCTTAGAATATATAGATAAGCAATTTTTTATCACCTTTTATTCAGAATAATTAAAAAATAATTTAATAAAATGTGATGGGTCAATATGTTTAAAATACAAAAAATATCTCAAGATTATGAATCGACGACTTCATTAAAGCTTTGATATTATTTTGATAATTTGAAAAAATTGGATTTTTTTAAATGTTAAAATTTTGAAAACAAATGACTTGAAAAAATAGTTTTTTTATATTGTGAAATTTTTGAACTTTTTTTAAAGCAATCGTGCCGAGTAGCTTAATTGTTATTATAATCCCTAGACCCTAGACAATATAATGTTATAATCTCTGATAATTTGATAATGATCATTTTTGACCGCCAAATGGCTTTTTTTAAACTTTTAAACTTTTTTTATTGCGACATTTATCCATCCATATTTTCTAAGGTTCCAACATGTTCAAAATGCTTTGAAACAAATATATGTAAAAATTTTCATTTTCGATTTTTTTTGCGATTACTATAACTTACACTACGAGAAGTTAAAAGATCTTTTAAAAACCTTTCTTTTTTGATGTTATTTTTGCTCATTTAGCTTTAGGTAAATACATGATTTATCATCATGACTTATGTGAGATATTCTAATAACAAGCTGCTGGAGTTTGCACATATTCCGATTGGATTTTTGTTAATCGAAAATGA